TATTCCTTATGTTCCACAAATAAGTGAAACCATATGATAATTGACTTTCTCTGCTTGACTTATTTCACTTAGCATAATCTCCTCCAGTCCCATCCACAAGCAGGGTTTTAGAGGGGAGGGGGGATTGGTTAGCCCGGTGATGGGTATTAAGGAGGGCACGTACTGCATGGAGCACTGGGTGTTATATGAAAACAATGGATCATGGGTCACCACGTCAAAAACCAATGATGTATTGTATGGTGACTAACATAACATAATAAAATTAAAAAAAAAAAAAAAGAACCACAGTGTTGGGAAGGAGAGAATAACACATGGGACAGTCCCAGAAGGGGGTCTGGTGGGCTTGGGTGTGAGGAACCAGTGTGAGGTAGTCAGCTGGGGGGAGAGGTCCCTATGTTTGTCAGAGAATCTTCCTGGGGGACAGTGGCGACCACATGCTGGGGGCTCCAAGGCTGAGTCGGGAAGGGCCCATTGTGGGGACCGCAGGAGGGTATCGCTGCCTGGGATTCTCCCTCCCTACCCCGAGGACCTCACTTAAGGCCAAGGTTCCCCCTGGAGGCTCCTGGGAAGAGCATTTGGGCTGGGGCAGGGGGACGAGAGGAAATGTTTACGGTCATTGCCTTGTTGGATCCTCAAGCCCACACTGTGATATAATTTTATCCCCACTTTGTGGATGGAGACACTGAGGCTCAGAAAAGTTTAAGAACTTGCGTAGTAACTTGCCAAGATGCAAACCAGCCCCCGAAGCCTGCCTTCCTGAGTCTCTCTACCCTGGTGATCTGTCTGGGGTCTACCCTCCCACCCCCCGCCCCGGGGCCAGCTTGCCCGCCTGCTTCCCTGTGGACAGAATCACCCGCTGCGGTGATCTGGTGGTGGGCGTGGCCAGACCTGGTCCCCCTCCTCTAGTGGCTTATAGTCTATCAGGGGATAGAGACTGTGATGCATGTGATTGCAGACATCAGTGTTTCCTTGTGAATCTGGATACGTGCCACGAAGAAACACAGTGCTCTGAGAGCCCATCACGGAGGCTTGACCTGGTGGTAGGCATTTCCAAGGCCCGGTGTTAGGCCTGAGATGCAGGGAATGAACTAGAGAAATAGAAGAGTAGTGGGGCTGAGCCAGGAGCAAGGGAGCTGGGGCAGGAAAGTGCCCATGAGGCTGGCGTGCACTGACCCTGCATGTCTGGGGCCGGGGTGGAGGGGGTTTGCTCTGTTTGCAGAGGGAGCCATGGAAGGCTCTATGCAGCAGCATGAGCAGATCCATGCTTTAAGCTCATCTTGCTTGCTGCTTTGTGGGGACAGGATGGGAGGGGGCAGTAGTGGAGCAGGGGAGTGTCCGGGGGCTGCTGTGGGACAGGGGAGGCTGGACTCTCAGGGTCTGGTTAGTGTCACGTGAGTGCCCTGGGTGTGGTCTGCGACCTCTTTGGGGGAGGAAGTGGAGGCTGGGGGGGGGCGGTTTGGCCAGCTCTGGTTGGTCCCCAGGCTGGGGGAGCAGGGAGGTTGAACCCCAGTTTGGTCCTGTCTGGAACTCCCCTTGCACCTGCTCCCCCTTCAGGGGGTGGGAACTGGACGTGCAGGGCAGGGGGGCATACAAGCCCGCACGACGTGGGCATTGTTCTAGAAGGGTCTGCCAGGCCCTAGCCCATCAGCAGGGCTGGTAGCAGCCAGAGTGGACGGGCCCTGTTGAGGTCCCACTGCTTTCTTGGGGGTGTCGCTCACCCCGGGCACTGTGCCCAGCACTTTCTATACCTAGTCCTTTTGGGTCCTGCCTGCTGCCTTAGAAGGTGGGAATTATCCTCCCATTTTACAGATGAGAAAACTGAGCTCAGCCCTGGATCACACAGCCTGCCCAGGGTCACGCAGCCGGGAGGCGATAGACCATTCATTCCTCTATTTATACTCATCAACTGTGGCTGCCCTAGAAGCAGGATATGCTTGGATTCTGGGTGGGGGAGAAGAACTTGAACATGGGGTTTGTTTCTGCCGGGTGGATGGAACCCCACCCACCCACCCCCATCTCACCCTAGTCTGCAGCTTCTCTAGGGTTAGTCCTGTAGCCCGGTCCGCTGCTCACTGCCGGGATCCAGCTGGCCTGACCGACCCCGCAACTTGCTGCTTCCCCGCGTGCCCGCTGTAGACACCTGCCACATCACCTTCCTGTCCCTACCCCGCCCTTTAAAAAAGTATAGGCTGGATGTGGGTGACTATAGAGGCCGGAACTTGTTTGAGGACAGGGACTCTAGGAAAAACAATACCCCCCCAAAAATATTGCTTTGCACAGTTTCTAAATCCTGTGATCCTGTACATGCATAATCAGGGCCCTTCCCAGGGGACTTGGAAACGGCTGGTGTAGAAGCTCTTAGCTTCACCAGCTACAACACCTGCTTCTGAACGGGGTCAAAGGCATGAGCAGTGTTTATGTTCACTAAGTTGTGCTGTTCTTCAAAGATACCTATGGATCCTGGTTTCACTGGGGCCTCAATGTTACCTCCTGAGGTCCATGCACTAGTTAAGACCTCCTTGGTCTCCCTGCACTCCCCACCCAGGTCCCAGCACCCCCAGAGGCTCCCATCTCACCTGGGATAAAACCCACCTGCCTTCCCATGGCCCCCGGACCCTTGTGACCCACCTGCCCGCCATCAGATGACCCGGCTTGTCTTCCCTCCATCCTGGCCGGGCCCGGCTGCACCAGCCCACTCTCCTTTCCTCCAGTGTCCCAAGCCGGTTCCTGCGCCGGGGACACTGTCCCCCAGGGCTTCCCACAGCTCGCTGTCCCACTTCCACTAGGCTCTGCGTCATGGGCGCTCAGAGATAGAGGCCTCTGATGTCACTCTGCCTAGCCCCTGCCAACCACCTGGATTAAGAGCATTTATTCCCTTCCTCCCCCACTGCCTGTTTCCTGCCACAGCCGGGAGCCCCACACAGCTGTGCCCCCAGTGCCTACTGGAGCCAGGAAGGTGCTGGAACGTACCTGCTGCATGAATGACTCAGGGCCCAGTGGGTGGTCCCGAGCCAGAGGGGCACCACGGGCACCATGTTGGGGTTCCACAGGCTGGTTGAGCCCCAGCTTCCCCTCACTGGTTGCTGTTGAGCTCTGCAGAGGACCCCCGAGGGCCGCCCACCTCTGTCCCCTCCACTCCGCAAGAGCGACCCATCTCCCCAGCCAGCCTTCTTCCTGCCGGCACACCCCATCCCTGCTTCTGCACACTCCCGCAGGTGCCGCTCCCATGAGCCCCTCGCTGTACCATCAGCAGCCCTGCAAGGGGGGCCGGCTTGCCCCCCGCATCCTGACGGCAGAGCTGAACAGCTCTGGGGCGTTGTTCTCTCACCCTGATCGGCTGCAGAGGCGAGCATTTTAAGTGAGTCACCAGTTTGACTTCCTCAGAGGAAAGTCCCCGAGAAACAGATGAACTCAGTCTGCCCCCCGCCATTGCTCCATGAGACCCTGGACCTTAGCTGGTGCTTGGCCCAGGCCGGCAGGGACTCTGGGCCCTGAAAACCCACAGGTGGTGGAAAAGGGGAGGCCTGGGACTCCTCCCTCGGGAGCCTGGGACTCAGTGCACGGTGGGGGTGGATGCGAGGGAGGAGTTCTCTTAGCAAGCATCAGGAGCTCTCGTGCGGTAGGTGAGTGGATAAATAAACTGCTCCATCCAGACAAGGAAATGTTCTTCGAGGCCGTCAAGATAGGAACTAATAGGGGACGCGTGGGTGGCTCAGTCGGTGCAGCGTCTGCCTTTGGCTCAGGTCATGATGCCAGGGTCCAGGGATTGAGCCCCATCTCGGGCTCCCTGCTCAGCGGGGCACCTGCTTCTGTCTCTCTCTCTGCCCCCTACCCTGCTTGTTCTCTCTCTCAAATGAATAAAATCTTCCAAAAAAAAGGAGCTATCAAGCCATGAAAAGACATGTGGGGACCTTAAATGCAGATTGCTCGGGGACAGAAGCCCCTCTGAAAAGGTTCCTTACGGTGCTTTGATTCCAACTATTGACATTCTAGAAAAGCCAAACTTCGGGGACAGTAAAAAGATTAGTGGTTGCTATGGGCTGGGGGAAGGACAGGATGAACAGGTGCAGCCCAGAGGAGTTTTAGGGCACTGAAACTACTCTGTATGATCCTATATTGGTGGATACTTGTCATTATACATTTGTCAAAACCCCCAGAACGTCTACCACCACAAGTCAACCCTGATGTCAACTGTGGACTTCAGCTCTTAATCACGTGTCAATACCAGTTCCTCACTGTAACAAATGTACCACACTAACGCAAGGGGTTAATAAGCGGGGACGGCGGAGGGGAAGGAGGCGCGTGGATATTATGGGAACGCTCTGTGTTTTCTGGTCACATTTTCTATAAACCTAAAATCGTCCCCAAAAATCCATTAATTTTCTAGTAAATTGAATACTAAATAAAGTAAGAAAAGATTGGGGCGCCTGGGTGGCTCAGTCGTTAAGCGTCTGCCTTCGGCTCAGGTCATGATGCCAGGGTCCTGGGATCGAGCCCCGCATCGGGCTCCCTGCTCGGCGGGAGGCCTGCTTCTCCCTCTCCCATTCCCCCTGCTTGTGTTCCCTCTCTCA